AAAATATTCTAAATCACTATTGATTAGAGACATGCAAATTAAAGCAATTCTATGATACCACCTCATATCTATCAGATTGGCTAATGTGGCAGAAAAGAAAAAATGACAAATGTTGGAAGGGATGTGGAAAAAATTGGGACACTAATGCACTGTTTGTGGAGTTGTGAGCTGATCCAACCACTCTGGAGAGCAATTTGGAACTATGCTCAAAGGGCTATAAAATTATGCATACCTTTTGACCCAGCAATACTATTCTTAGGTCTGTATCTCAAAGAGATCAAAGGAAAAGGAAAAGGACCTGTATATACAAAAATATTTATAGTATCTCTTTTTGTGGTGGTAAAGAATTAGAAATTAAGGGGGATGCCCATCAATTTGAGAGTGGCTAAACAAGTTATGATGTATGACTGTGATGGAAAACTACTGTGTTATAAGAAATGGTGAGCAGGATGGTTTCAGAAAAGACTGGGAAGGCTTATATAAAAGTGAAAAAGTGACATGCAAAGTGAAGTGAGCAGAACCGGGAGAACATTGTATACAGTAATAGCAACATTGTATGATGATCAACTGTGAATGATTTTGCTGTTCTCAGCAATACAGTGATCCAAGGCAATTCCTGAAGGACTTATGATGAAAAACATTATCCACCTCCAGAGAAAGAACTGATGAAGTCTGAGTGCAAATTGAAGCATATTTTTTTCACTTTCTTTATTTTTCTTGTTTTTTGTTTTTTTTGCAACATGACTATTATGGAAATATGTTTTGCATGATTTCATATGTATAATTGATTTCACATTTCTTACCTTCTCAGTGGGTGGGGGGAAGGTGAGAGGAAGTGAGAGAATTCAGAACTCAAAATGTGTTTTTTAATAAAAAATTATTTTTAGTTTTTTCCCACTTAATAGTATTCTATTTTTTCCAATTATATGTAAAAATAGTTTTCAACATTAACTTTCATAAGATTTTGAGTTCCAAATTTTTTTTCTCCCTCCTTCCCTGCTGCCCTTCACAAGACAGTGAGCAATCTGATACAGGCTCTACATGTACAATCATATTAAACACATTTCTACATCAAAATATTTTTAAATTAATGTTAAAAATAAATTAATAATAAAATTTTCAAAGTAGGTTGATGGAGCAAGCATAAGAGGAATATTTAATCATAGTTTCATCCTTACTGGGAAAGAAAAGTTTATTAAAAATGAGAATAGCAAATTAGAATTGGAGAATCTGGACTTGGGCTTTACATTACTGATGTGATTTGAGAAATATCTGTGGAAAGAGGATTGGATTTTCTTTTCTAAGGAAAACAAGTAGATAATACCTAGTGCTGATTTCTTTAAAAGTAATTCAAAATAATTTACTGAAGGCAAACACAAATGAAATAATTATAAACCCTAAATATCAATAGATTAAACTAAACTTACCCATGAATTCAAAGAATGGATTATGATTCATAATGACAGAGGACAGAATGGGGATTTATAAGGGTCTGTGGTGGTAGAAAACAACAGGACTTGGCATAGATTAAGTGCCAGTGAGACGTCCAGGATGACACCTAGGTTGTGATCTTAGTGGTGCAAAGAGGGGATGGTTTGGGAATAAAAACAATGTTTTGGACATGTTAAGTTTAAGATGTTTTAAGGACAACCAGATTAAGATATCCAATAGGCAGTTGCTGAAGCAAGAGCAAAGGTCAAAACAGTTTCATTTTTTCCCGTGAGGAAGGAAAAAGAAAACGATTTTTTAATGTTGGACGGAAGTCTCCAGTAGCTTTCAGTAGGTGTGTCCCCATCGCCGCCACCCCAAAACCTTTCAGGATTCATTTCAATGCTTTTTGTGTATAGAACAGGAAAGACTAAAAGGACACATAAAAAAAGCCACAAGCATTTTGGAGTAAAAATCAACATCTCATCTGCACATAGGCCACTGGGATGACTTTCTCTTAGGAACATTGTTTCTTGTAGAAACATGTGGGAAAAAAATTTTTTTGGAGGATTTCTTTGTACTTAAGGGGGGAAAGCTCCAGTAAACCCAACAACAGGGGAAAAAAACAAGTGAGTTTGTAAATACTTTATGAAAAAAAGGAACTTATAATTTGGACTCATTTTTTAGCAAGATGACAGCTTTCCCTCCAAGCCCACCTGCTGAAGCCCCAGCTCACGCGAGGACCTACTAACATCTCTCTCTCTCAAGCTTCTGTCAAGCTTCTTACTGTGTAAATCCTGTACAAAATAATTTGGGTTTAGCTTTGCTTGGGAGTTTGGGTTTTTTTGATTTGACTTTTTTTGGGTTCTTTTTGTGTGTGCGCCCCGATTGATGTGTGTGTGGGGGGTGTGGGTGTGAATTCATGTCCAATTAGACAAAATTAGCAGCATCAAAATGGAGGGGAAGACACAGGCCAGCCATAAGCCCTTCTTTTCTATTTTGGGTTCAGGCCTTGTCTGCCAACTTGAATGTGCAAAAGAGAAAAAATAAAGAATATATTATATACATATACATATACATATACATATACATATACATATACATATACATATACATATACATATACATATACATATACATATACATATACATATACATATACATATACATATACATTTCACAGAAGGAAGACACGTACAGTGTGTGGAGAAGGGTCTATTTAAGCAAGTTCTGGATCCCACCCCCCCACACAACTCCCCTAAGAGATAGTTCTCTCCCAAACTTTAGATTGGGACAAACACTAAGGGAGAAAAGGGGGGGAGGGCATAAGGTGGTTTTGATGGGACCCCTCCCCCAAATCCCTCACTCCCCCTTCACCAAGTTGCTTCCAAGAAGTGAGAGCAGGGAAGGGCCCCCTCCATCAGAGGAGACGAGGAGATGGTTTGCAATAACTAAGAAAATGCAGTCATTTTTAGTTTGATTTGATTTGACAAATTCTTTGCTTTGAAGATTTCTGCCTCTAGGTTTTCTTTTGGTTTTTGTTTTGTTTCCCCCCCCCTTTAAAAAAAAAGGCAATTAAATTTTTTGGCCATTTTGTGCACCTAGACCCCACCCTCTGAATGTCATCTGTTTTTGATGAAAAATGTTTCTATTGTGGGTTCATCTTGCTGTAAATCTGTATTCATATTTTTGTGAATTCTATACCATGTACCATTGTATTATAGTAACTTTTATAAAGCAAACCCTAAATATACTGACCTTTCTTACAGAAAAAAAAGAGTAAAGGTCAAGAGAGAGATTAGAGCTAGATTTGAGAATCGTCTGCACTGAGATGATGATCGAATTTAGGGGAAGCCTATCAGATCACCAAGCAGGATAGAATGAATACTGAGATCTAATTGATATCAGTACTGGCTTTTTATCCATTATACCACACAGACTCTTGACTGACTGATAGCTTTAAAAAAGTCATTACCTGGTGACCATATTTCTGATAATAAGCTTCTCCAGATGTGCAATTCAATCCCCAGGCCTCTAACCAAATATTTCTCTAGAACTACTCTTCTTGAAAACAGTGATATGGTACAATTTTTGTCGTTGTTGTTCTGTGATAAAGCTTAGAAACTCTTATTAATCCTAAAGGAAGTCAAACTGCTTGAAGAATTTAGTGATGACTTTACTCATGTGTAAAGCATCTATTCCCTCTGTGTTTGGGCTACACAGGGATGGAAAGGGGCCATTCCCACCTATGTGACAGAGGAATACAGAATGTCTTCTCCTGAAAGTAAGTCACTGGTATTTCCCATACAATTGCCTTTTTGTTAGTCAATCTGGTTATGTGTGATACTAACATAAAGGGAAATCTATATTATTAAGAAGTAGGAAGACTAAATTACAACAAACATTACCAACCACTCAACCTCTCATTGGCTTTCCCTTCATGTCCCATCAGGTTGCATTGGTCAGGACTCCTTGGTCATTCCCCAGAAACCTCTTCATTCTCTAAGATCACTTTAGGACAGGAACTCACATGTTGGAAGTACCCTCTACTCTCTGATTGGAGGGTAGGGGGCTCCTCCCAGAATCCTCATTTAAGGAGGGCATCCAGGTCAGCCATCTTTTAACTTTCCATTGGACTGCACTCTCCTGGATGTCCATTTCCATTGTACCCCCATTCCAGGTGACTTTCCTACACCTCCACCATAGATTTCCAGCTTCCTTTTATGTGCTATCTCCCATATGAGAATGTAAGACCCTAGAAATAGTATCAGTCTTTTTGTTTGTTTGCATTTGTCTTTCCAGTGCTTAGCACATAGTAAATCCTTGTTGACTGACAAAAAAAAAATAAATAAAAAGTATATGGCAACTAATGAAGAGATAACAAAATGAACCACTTCCTTCTGGTCTTCACAGGGGTGGGAGGGATGTCTATGGGTGTGGTTTTGTTTTTTTTTTAGGCAGTTGGGATTAAGTGACTTTCCCAGGGTCACACAGCTAGTAAGTGTCAAGTGTTTGGTCTGAGGCCAGATTTGAACTCAGGTCCTCCTGACTTGAGGGCCACCGTTCTATCCACTGTGCCACCTAGCTGTTATGGGTATGGGATATTTAAGATACTGTCAGACAGATGTATTGATTAGCTTTGCTGATCTGAATTAATTTCTCTCTCACTTTCTTATTCTTTGTAACTTAGAATGGCTCTCTAGAATATATTTGGAAATGCTAAGAGATAGAATAGGGACTGGGGCTGTGATTTCATTGGCATAGGAAGGTCTAAGACAGGGAAACTCCCTCTTCCAATGTAAGTCTTCACATTTTCTGCATCCTGACTCACCCAGAATCACACAGCATGTATCAGAGTCAGTACTTGAACCCAGATTTCTGAGACCAGAGTGGAAATGAAGGTGATGTAAAAACAAAAGATATAGCTGGTATACATCCTTTATATCCATTTTATTAAGGAAACAAAATGATTTGGCAAGTGGGACAGAACAGTTTCCTAAACAAAACAGAACTCTCAGGACTAAGGCATGCTGTCCTTCTTCTCACCTAGCTGGGAGGGGGAGAGGAAATGAGCTGCTCCATCTGTCTGCATCTGTCCAGGCCTAGGAAAATGCAGGTTCTTGGTCACAGGCAGGGTCCAATCCACAACCATCTGCAAAAAGAGAGAGGGCAAGTATTTCAGTCAGATGGGAGTAGCCATGGATTCTTCCTTCCCCAGCCCCTAAACCATGGAAAGAGGGAATTGTGCAGCTGCGTGATTCCCTGTGACCCCATTTGGAGTTTACTCGGCAAAGATACTGGAGTGGTTTGCCATTTCCTTCTCCGGTTCATTTTATAGATGGGGAAACTGAGGTAAACAGGATTAAGTGACTTGACCAGGGTCACACAGCTAGTAAGTGTCTGAAGCCGGATTTTAACTCAGGAAGAGAAGTCTTCCTGACTCCAGCTCGGCGCTCTGTGCACTATGGCGCCAGCTAGCTGCGTAAAGGGGGAAAGAAGCCATTAAAGGGCAGACCAGAGGGTGAATGAGTCGGGGAAGGAAAAGGGACTTTGGGGGAGCGAGGCCATCACAGCTCCCAGGCCAGGAGGCTGAGCCCCTCGCCCTCTCACACAGGTGATCAGGGACCCAGGAGTGCCCAGCCTCTCACCGCTGCTGCAGCAGATCCCGCTGGCAGCACAGCGCCCTCCACTCCCGCAGGGTTTCTGGCCAGACTGGCACGGGGAGGGCAGGTAGTTCTCTTCCTGGCACCTCAGGCTCTCGGCCGTGCCCATGTAGCAGCCTAGCTCTTCCCCGCAGCAGATGCTGGGTCCGAAGCAGCGCCCTTTGCTTCCTGGACCACAGGGGAGGCACTGCAAGGTGGGGAGAATAACAAGGGTCAGTACTATGGACAGCGCAGGGCGGATCTGGGGCGGGACAAACAGACAGCTTCTCTGAGTTCCACCTCTGACCCCTTGGTTTGGAAGCCGAGCAAACTGGAACCCAGAGGGTGGAAGGGATTCATGCAGGGAGGCCGAGGTGGAGCGCACACAAGAAGCAAGGACCAAGTCCAAGCCCGGGGCTCTCTCCTGCCCTGCCCTGCCCTGCCCTGAGTTGAGCCTCGATAGAGGAACCTGACACCTGTGAGGGGAAAGGGAGCTAGGACAGAACTGGAGATCTGAGCAGCCCAGGGAACACCACGACAAGGACTCAGGCATTAGGGCACCCAGGGCAGCCTTGGGACCCCCGGGCCCTGGAGGTTTGCCTGGAGGTGGCCTTTGGCCCGTTCCATGCCCCAAAGCCGCCTAAGGGGGTACCCGGGGCTGGGAGAGGGGCCTCCAGCCGAGTCCCACCCAGGCGGAGCCTCACCTTGCGCACGTCCATGTCCAGAGCCGAGCGCTTCCCGCCGATGGGGCAGTTCTGGATGTAGCAGGCAGAGGCCAGAGCTAAGAGAGCGAGGAGATAGCAGCAGGCGAGACCAGGATGGGACCGAGGGGAGAGGCCAGGAAGGGAGCCGGGGCTGCCCATGGTGAAGCTGGCTGCCTCAGAGGCTGGATTGGTTAGGCTGAGGGCTGGGTCCCCGAGGTTGATCTTCCTGGGGCTCTGAGCTCCGTGCTCTGAGCTGGGCCTATTTATGCCTCGGAGCCAGAGGCCTAAGGTGGCAGCCGCTTGGAAGCTCACGCCCGGTCAGCGGGAAGTGAGTGCCACCAGTGCCCCCTCACTTAGCCAGGTCAGGCTGGAGCACAAGGTCAGGTTGTCTGGTCAGGGCCGAGCTCAGGGCCAGAACTGGGGCTCTGCCCTCATTAGGCTGTGGCTCTACTTAATGCCCTAAGTGCTAGCCTAAATGAACTTCCAATTAACTCTTGGCTCTAAGATCTGAGCCTGCAGTCTAGCAGCCCTTCCTCATTTACTCCCCCACTTCCATCCCTCCCTCCAAAAGTCTCCCTTCTTCTCTTGGTCTGTTTCCAGATCGAGAGGAGCTGGTTCCAGGCCCGCTTCTTGGATGAAAGGCCTGCCTCTCTTTTTCAGAGCAAGAGACAGCCAGCTCCATCTGTCTCCTCCTAGGAAAGCAGAAGCCAAAGTCCAGAGAGGGAAGGTGCTCCCAGACCGTGGACCCCAGAATCCCAGTCCTTAACTCCCTTTTATCAAAGACTGCCTTCCCTAGGAGATGGGGTGTCCAGGGTTTGAGAAATCAAGGTGCAGGGGAATTGTAGGCTTGGGACAGGATTCAGGCCTGACACCAAGATAAACACAGACTGGGAGAAAAACTGGGCTCAAGTCAAAGAAGGAGCTGTCCCCAAGAGAAGGGTCTACCAGGAATGTGGATGCAGCTGGTCCTGAGTCACTCCTAGGATCACTCTGAGCTCTCTCTCAGCCCAGAGGGAAGAATGGAGTTTAATGAAGAAGAGAACCTTTGTATCTTCCCCAGTGCCTAGTACACAATAGGTACTTTAAAGTGGTTGAGTGAATAAATGAATGAACCAGGACAGTGAGTAGACTGGAGAATCCTTGAAGTAACTGGGGTTGTTTAGCTGGAGAAAAGAAAAGGATATTAATAGAGGGATGAAAGACAAAAGTAAAGGGGAGGTAGACTGAGGGAAGAGGAAGAGGGTGATAAAGACAAAAGAGAAACCAAGAGAACAGAACAACAGAGGGATGAAGGGTTCAGAGGGACAGAGAAGACAAGCAGGGGAGAGCACAGAAGAACAAGTGCCGGAGGGGATGACGTCTTGAGGACAAAAGGGCAAAGGGGAAGATGACCAGAAGGAACAGCATGGGGAGAAAAGGGCAGAGAGGGCAGCATTACCAAATGACATAGAAGACAAAGAAATAAATGGGCACAGGAAGTGGAGAATTGGGGGATAGCGGAGGGAGGAGAGAGGACCGAAAGGGATAGAGGGCAGGGGGGCTAAGGGACAACAGAAAGGGGAATAGAGGGCCAAAGGACAATCATTCAGAAGAACATGCACATGACAAAGTGCCTTCAAAGGCCAATAGGAGCATTTCCCTTGAGGTCTCTTTCCCATCCTCTGAGAGCCCCCAACTCCATCCATTACTCATCTCAGTCCCTCTGGACCCTAATTTCCAGTTCCTCTTCATGACTCCAGGTTTGGTTAGAGAGCTGAAGAAGGTCCTCTAACTCATCCCCTAATCCCCAACCCCTGCCACCTCTGCTCAGGATCCAGAATGGGATTGTCTATGCTCCAATTCTCTGCCTCCAGAGAACAGCGAAAGCGAGTTGGGGTGGGAGGTTAGAAGAATCAAGGGCTAGAGTCACTGGGTAGGATGTAGAGGAGGAGAGAAAGGAATGTAAAATGGGATGATATTGGAAGCAAGCTCCTACCAGAAATGGTGGGAAGGAATGGGATAATGGAAGGGCTATTCTTAATGAAGACCATATGTGACCAGTGAGGAGGCAAAGTGAATGATGATACTAAGAAATGGAGGAGGAATTAAAAAAAAAGAAAGAGGAGAGGAATTTAATGAACTTTCAAAGAATCACAGAATCTCAGAGCTAGGAGGGACCTCCATGCAAACTAATCCAGCCCCGTCCTTTCATAGCCAATGGCCTAAAAAAATCTGTCAACACCCCTTGACTCCTTTTCCTTTCACCTCACTCTTTTCTCAACCTCTTGCTATCTGCTTTTGACCTTAACATTCAGCTGAAACTTCTGTTCCAAAGTTTCCAAAAATCTTTTCCTTGCAAACCACACGATCTTTTCTCAGTCCTCATCCACCTCTTCCCCTCTGCAGGTGGAGAAGACAGTCAACAACATTATCATTCACTCCTTTAGGTTTTTGTGACACTGCTCTCTCTTGTTTCTCCTCTTCTTTGTCTGATTACTCCTTCTCTTTTACTTTATCATCATCAGTACTCCAGCCCAGGCTTTATCCTGGACCCAGTTTTCTTCTTTTTCTTCCTTCTTTTGGTGCCCCCACAGATTCAATCACCACTCCTGTGCAAATCAGTTCTATGCCAGAGCTGGATTAATTATCAGACTGGGGGAGAGGATATGTGCTGTAATGGGAGCCAGGATACCCATGTACTTCCCCTATACCTATGTATATGTACACATGTGTATATATACACATATATAATTGAGGGGTTAACTTTAGTCCTTCAAAACCTATCCACAACCTATATTTCCAGGCTTAATACATATTAATCCCTTTCACCCACTCTATAGTTCAGTCAGACTGGCTTTCTGTTCCTCACACATGCTATTCCATTTCCCATCTTTGTGGCTTTCCACAAGCTGGCTTCCATGCTTGGAATAGACTGTGTTCTCACCTCTGCCCCTTAGAGTTCCAAAGTTCAGTTCAACTCTTTTTTTTTTTACATCAGAACTGGGTGGTTGGGGACCAGGGAAGAGAAAGAAAGAGAATAAGCATTACTGAGTGCCTGCTATGTGCCAAGCACCATACTAAGCTTTTTGAAATATTATGTGCTTTGACTCAAAACAATCCTGGGAAGTAGGTGCTATTATTATCTCCATTTTACAGATGAAGAAAAAGATGAGGAGACTTGCCTAGGGTCACACAGCTAATAAGTGTCTGAGGCCAGATTTGAACTCAGGGCCAGTTGCTTGCGGGCAGGGATTGTGTCATTTTTGTCTTTGTATCCCAGTAGCTGGCACACAGTGGTCTGGAAAAGGCCTCTAAAGCCACCTAGTCCAGCCCCTTCACTGTAGCAATGAGAGCAATGAAGCTCAGGATGGTTAAGAGACTTTTAGGTGTTTAGTAAATGCTTGTTAATAGTTGACTGAACAGAAATACAGCAGAGATTCTGCCCAAAGATTTGCAATGAAGGGAAAGCCTCTACTTCCAAAGAGCTTCCTTGCCACCTCACCCTGCCCTCGTGTTACAAGACAGAGCCAAAGAGCTCAGAACAATTCAAGACCTTTATTTTTCTAAAAACACTTGGAGCAGGGGAAGGGAGAGGGTGGCATGCTGGAGAGAGGGGAGCTGCTCCTCAAGGGAATCCTCAGTAGATAGCTTCCTCTTTGGGAGGCTGCAGTTCCCCCAAGTGCTGACCAGCCAGCTGCACTTGGTGCAGCAGGAAGGCACTGGCTGGCCCATCCAGCTGGGTCCAACTGCTCTTCTCACTGGTCTTTGCCCTCCTCTGGTTGCCAGTTTCCTCCCAGCAGGCTGGTTCCACCATACAGCTCTCTGTGAGAACAGCAAAGGAAAAAACTCAGAACATGGAGTTCTATGAAGTCAGGCCATGCAGTTAAAAACAGGGTAAATGAAGTAGACCTAGGAGGCTTCATTATTTTCCTGAATTAGTTCAGGACATCTGAGGTGGGATGGTGGCCAGAAGCAAGAAGACAAAGAAGGTGGCTGGGGGGGAAGGGAGGATTCTCTCCTTATCTGTTAGGACAAGCTGTCCCAGAGCCAAACCCTAACCCTAATTCCAGTGACCATTCCCAGGGTGGGTGAGTCCCTGGAATTCCATTTAGCCCCACTTCAAGGTGGATTGATTTATCCAGGTATGTTCAGGACTGAAAACATTGTTACAAGCACCTTTCAGTTGAACATTCCACATTCCACATCCCACAAACCAATTAAAAGCCTCCATCTTTCAGAGCCCTGTGCTGGGGACTAGAGGAAATACAACATTTAGACAACATACGATCCCTGTCTCAGGAAACTTACAGTTTAGTACTGTTGAGGAGAGGTAGGAGGTTAACACAGATATCTCAACTCACACCTGAGCACATATTTCTCCCTCTAGTCTGGCATATTGTTTTTTGAGATTCAATGCTATATAATGGAAAGAGTTCTGATTTGGGAGTCAGGTAAGACCTGGGCTCAATGTCCTCACCTGTAAAATGGGGCTAGCAAGACTTATATTACCAACCTCTCAGGGCCATTGTGAGACTCAAATGAGGTGGTATATGTAAGTGCTATGAAAATGTCAGTGATTATAATTATTCTGTAGCACACATGTGCATGTGCACACCCCCTCCCACACACTCCGCCCCTCCTTGAGGGCTTTCCTTAAATGTCTGAAATAAAATGACTGCAGTGCAATGGCCATTTGGATGCACTGCCTAGCAAACAAGGACACTCCATGTCTTCAGGCTTTACTGGCCCTTGACAAAAACTAATAACCAGAACAGGCTTAAGTTTGGGGGGGTTTTGGGGGGTTCATCTCAGGTGACTTCTGTCCTTGACCACTATCCTTGTTTCCTGAAGGTGGGGAAATCACCTCCTGGGAACCAAGTCTGCATTGACCTCCAAAGTGTGTTCAATATAGATATATATGAGTGGCCATCTGATCGATCTTCGTAGCACAAGGAAGTTCTGCCTTAGCCAGTGCCAAACTTCTGTGGCCTCTGGCTGCCTGACTCCATCCTTTTCCCAGTAGGATCATTCTATCCTCATTTCTATTGCTCAGCCATCTTCTTAGGCCCTTGCCTTCCAGTCTGAGTGGCCCTCCTTGTTCTCTAGCTTTGCTTCTGTGCTCTACACTGAAGGAGCTGTTCTGGACTTAGTTAAAGTTCCACCTTCCTGAGCTGGATTAGTCTTTGGAAACCCAGTCTAAGCCTCTGTTTCATTCCTTTTAGCAACTGCTCATACTTCAGCTACTTATCTTCTCTCTGAATAGTCATTAGACTATATACCACATGCACAATAGTACATGATGGTGTTAAAGAGCTCTACCCACTCATTCCAACCTGACCCTTTCTGCTTTCTGATGTACTCTTCCTCTTTCTAGAAGCCTTAGTAGTAGATCATCCACCCACATCACCATATTTTTTTCCTTTTATACTGAACGGTACCTACTAAACTAGCACCCACCCAGCCACCTTGCCCACACAAAAGGCCACTCCAACTATCTTTAAAAAAAAAAACCTACATCACTCTCAATATGATTTCAGAATTGTCCTTCTTCATACTGCACACAATTTTTTTGCTTTCCCTTGCTATTTTCTTTCATGATTTCCATCAGATTTCACCCCCCCCCATTTTTTTGTTTTATTTACCACCTTGAGGGCTTGACAATACCATAGGGTTACAGTTGCACAACCAATCCAAACTTTTATCTCTACTATGCTATGAAATTTTATCCAGTAAAGTGAATAGAAGACTTAGGTTAAAATGATCATAAGGACATAGATCCTTTTCTGAGCACCTGTGGACTGGGAGATCAAAGCCCACACTACCTGGAGGGAAAGAATCTTTTCCCAACATAAGCAAACTTTTTAGTTTATCCATGGGCAAGCTCTCTCTCCCTACTGGGGTTCCTGATTTTGTAACATCAGATTCTTCTCTTCTAGAGGTAGGGTGATGTAGTGATCCATCTTCAGGTACTATTTCCTTCTGTCACTACATGAGAAATTTTCAAATGATCAGGTAATTCACACACACACACACACACACACACACACACACACACACACACTCATGCACTCATACATGAGATAGAAAAACACTCTTCAATTTGTTACTGAACATCTCCCCAAATCTTTTATCCCTCATTTTGATATTTGTGTGTCTATTTTGAGACTCAGGATCTACCCCTAAGAATCAAAGCTCTCTTTGTGGTTTACTATGCATTGCTGCATGCCATTGTTCTAAAAATGTGGCCTCTCTTTAGATCATCTTTAGTGAAAATTGTATTCAGCAAATCCATAACACAAGAGGAAGTAAGCAAGCATTCAGGACCAGGGAACAAATTTTAAAAAAAACAAACAATTAAACAGCTACACAAATATAGATAGTGATAATTAAACAGCGCACACCATCAATTTTTTACCGGACTTCAGATTTCATTGTCATAAGGAGCTGCCAGTGAGGAACTTCTTCGAATGTAGATTGGCACCTACAGTGTAACTTTTGGTCTTAAAAAGCTTCCTGGGCCACTGAGAAGGTAAATGACTTGCCCAGGGTTACACAGCTCCTATGTGTCAGAGGCAAAACTTGGACCCAAGTCTTTCTGAACCTGAGGCCAGCTGTCTATCCACTATGACACTCTGACCAGCAACTAGCATATGAAAAGACAAGTAAAATCAATTCATTCAATGCTTCATTCAAGTAAGCAGCAATGTTATCAATTATGAAATGAGCACCAACATTTCAAAATTCACTGGAAGGATTTTTTTTTAGGATTCCCCCCCAACCCTGTCCCAAGATAAAATTGAGCTTAAATGGAAATAATTTTCATCTCAAAAAGCTAAGAAACTTAAAAAAAAAAACCTTCTCAGGATGAGCAGAAGACTGGGCTATATTTATATATTACCAGCATTGCAGCAGATCCCAGCAGCAGCGCAACGTCCTCCATTGCCACAGGGTTTCTGGCCAGACTGGCAGGGAGAGGGCAGGTAGCTCTCTTCCTGGCACCTCAGGCTCTCAGCAGTGCCCATATAGCAGCCTAATTCATCTCCACAGCAGATGCTGGGCCCAAAGCAATGCCCTTGGCTCTTAGGACCACAGGTGAGACACTGCAGGGAGGAGCAAGGTTTAGGGTGAGCAAACACACAGTCTTTATCCCCTGCAAGAGAGTATCCATTTCCCCCCCCCTTTCATACATGTCACCTTCCTATTTCCTCAATTCTTCCCATTCTCTCCTCTTCTCTTTTCCCTTGCCCTTCCTTTAATGCCCTGCCACATTCTCACTTCCTCTGTCTTCTCCCTTCCTCCTTCTCTCCTCTACTTCCTTTAATCCTTTCCTCTCCTCTCCCTTTCTATTGTTCTCTCCTTCCTTCTCCCTTTCTATCTTCTTCTTTCTTTCTTCTCCCATCCTCCTCCTCCTCTCCTCTCTTTCCCCCAATACTCTTTTCCTCTCCCCGCCTCTCTAATCTTTCTTCCCTTCTTTTCTTCTGTTCTATCCTCCTCTTTCCTATTCCCTTCTTCCTGTTCTCTTCAATTGTCTCCCAGGGACTCTGCGTAACCAATGTAGGACTTGCTCCTTCCTTAAAAGACAGGAATTCAAGTTTGGGGTTCTGTGTTTTCCTCTCCCAGACTACTCACCCAACTACCTGCATTGTGTTCAGCAAAACCTGTCTTTCTAGCCTTCCTTTTTAACACAGGATGGAGTTGCTCAATCACCTCTTTTCTGCCCTACAGCCCTCTCAGCTCACTGGAAACTGACCCTGTGCTTTCCCACCTTGGTGAAATATTGACAGATGAACTGGGCAAATGAGGGAGAAAGGGAGATAGTCTGGGAAAGGAGGAGGAGAAACTGCTTAGCTTCCTCTAGTTGCTGATCAAGGTGCTGAAGCAACCAAACTTCATCTTCTAGATCTAGAGGCATATAGCACAAAGAAACTGGTCCCTCCCTGAAACAATTCTAAATGAGGTACTGGGCACTTGGACAAGAAAGGCTGAGGGAGGAGAACATATCTTTCATATGCTCATATGGTGGTGAAGACAAGACCAGATTTTCTCCTGTTCCTCTGAAAACTGAATAGAAGGGAAGAGGTGAGAAAGGCAGGAGATGGTCAGATATAGTAGAGGATGAGGTGTCAGTCACTCTAGCTTGAAAAGCCCTCAGTCTGCACTGATACCCACATAATGCCAAAAGACCTCAAGGGAAAAGCCCAACATTTTAGGTAGAGCCCTACGAACTTATCTATTGGGATGACATGGACAGGGAGTATGGAAGGGGCTGTGATCTGCATTGTTAGAGTGTGTACTCCAATCAAAGAGATCACAAAGCCTTTGAAGGAAGTGTAACATAACTTCCTGGAAGGGAGCAAAGTTAGACTGAGTTGCTACTCCTTTTACTGGAGAACTCTAAGACGAAGCTTTTCACTCCATTTCTTTGCCCATAATGTGACTCGGGAGGTGACTTATGGGCTTAAAATGGAGGCTGAAAATCCTATCTTTGGTGAGCTGAAAGGCTTATCCCATCGGAAATAGAGGGTGACTGAAAAGTCAGCTGTACCCCTTCTCCCATTAGGGCTGGACTCCACCCACTAAAGAAGTCCCTCTACTTCATCGCCAACAAGAGGCCAGTCTCTGCCTGAATATCTCCAATGTTACCTCTCTCTGCTTCCTTTTGCCTCTCTCCTTTTCTCTCTGTATGCTCCCCTCTAGCCTTTACCCTATGTCCCTCTCTCTACCTCATGTTCCCTTCTCTCCCTTACCCCCCTAATCCTTGCCTTACTGTGCACTCCTGTCTTTTAGGAGCCCCTTCACACACCAGACAAACTGCCCTAGGAATACTGGAGGGGCCAGTCAGGCACAGGGTTCTCTGCTCCCAGAGAAGCTGATGGTTTCTAAGTGAAGTCCCAGCAATGCCATTTCATGCCACTCATAGGAAGAACCCTGACCTAGCCAGCCATACCTGTCTCATCTCAATGTCAGTCAAGGAGCGCTTGCCTCCCCTTGGACAGTTCTGGAAGTAGCAGGCAGAGGTGAAGGTGAGAAGGCAGAGGAAGCAGGCCAGCAGCCTGGGATCTGGCATCTTGGTAGCAGGTCTGGAGGCTGGGTTCTGGCTGTGGTTGCTTTGTTGAACTGAGCTGTCCCTGGTTCTTGGCTTTAGGGCTTTCAGCTGCTTATTTATACCCCAACAATATCCCCTTGGAGACTGCCACGTTGAAGCAGCCTCTTTCCTCTCCCTCCCCATAACCCCTCCTACATCTCCCAAGTGTATCTCCATGAACCCTAAGCAAGGAGAGAATTCTATCCTGGTGATTCAAGGCTCAGGCTCAAAGCCTGCCTGCCTGTGTGTGTGGCCTGTGGACATGTGTGCACCTCTGTGCATGTGTCTGTGCAGATGTTCAGATGTTTGTTAATGGCTGAACTTCTGTTGGACTCAGGGCTTTTCACTGACCTTTGAGTATGTCATTCACCACCTGTAGGAACAGAATTATAATGTGTATGTCCAGATCTTCTACCTGTCTCTATGTATGTGCATTTAATTATAATAGTAAGGTTTGTGAAATACTTTACCAATATCTTTTTATCTTCACTACCCTGTGAAACAGATGTTATTAGAATCCCCATGAGGAAACTGAGGTAGACTGAAGTTTAGTGACTTGTTCAGGGTCACTCAGTGTCTGAAGAAGGAATAGAACTCAGGCTGCCCTGACCCCAGGTCCAACACTTTCTCTGTTGTTTCACCTAGCTACTCTATACCTGTGAGAATGTCCATGTTCCTGGGGCTGTCCAGTGATTTATTTAAATTCTCTGGACTCATTTCCTCCAGATCATTCTCAATGTTGATTCCCTGCCCCCTCCCCCCCAGTGGCTCCCTACTCCTGGGGGTTCTGTATGTTGGTGCCAGATTTAGTATGGATTGACTTTAATCCCATGGCAGCTAAGAATCCAGAGCCCATGTGACCCACCAGCCTCAGCCTCCCCTATCAGGCACAGGCCACATCCACGTCCACATGATGTGTATCCACCTTAATTCTTTAAATGATCCAATTTAATTAGGAGCTAGGTTTTAACATGTCCCAAATCCCACACCTATATCCTAAAGGCAACATTTGTGTGGCATTCAGTCAATCTACATAACAAATAAACACAAAATTAAATATTAAACTGTCTATGCCAGATTCCATTCTGTCCTATAGAAGGAGTAGGAAAAAGTACTGTTATGACTTGTGTTGTTTCAGCATTCCTTTTTTGACTGTGACAGTCTTTAAGCAGCAATTTTCAGGTTCTTTGAGCAATTCCTGTTGCAGAAAAGACTGGTAGAAATGACCCGGCAAAGATTTTTCTTCTGTAGTCTTTTTCTCTCAAGTTGGGAAACTTGGAAGAGAAGGATGAATATTTCTCTTGGAAGTGGAGAATTGTTTCCCATCTACACTAGTTTACAGTGCTTTGTACAATTCCTGGCATGGAGTGGGTGCATAGTAAATGCTTGTTGACTGAGTGACTATGTTGGGTCTCCAGGGAGTTGACAGTGGCCTTTTATTTGCAGAGTCTGGCCTGAGTCTGGCCTGGGTAAACTTTTTGCTGCTTCCTGGTTTTTAAGGGTTTACTGATGATGCAGTGATTTCAGAAATAGGTTTTGCTTCTCATCCTATAACAATATTTAGAAGTTCCTGAGACAGTGTTTTAGGAGCCAGTGTGAAGCTTTGTAACAACATTAGTTGGGATGGATATATACATACACACACACACACACACACACACACACACACACACACACATATATAATAGTCTGCTATGATGGTCAAAAGGGCATTCACCAGGTTTTTCTTTGCAAGGCTATTCTCTGGCTTCAATCAGTTTGAAGAGGACATTGCATGGCCACAGAACTACACTGAGGGGCCGTTGTTGTGCATCTTGGCATTTCTGATCAGAGTAAATTGGCCAATTTGCAGAAGTGCAGAGAAAAATTGAAGGATATTTTGGGGCTGTAAATCTGAAAGCAGTTGGCTTATGTCTATCCATGTAAAAAAAAAATCAAACTGTCTCTAAATTCACATGGACTTTCACACAATTTAGGAAAGATTTTTGATTTGGTGAAAATATAAAAAGTGATCAGATAACGCAGACTAAAGTAATACCGTGTTCTTGAGTTATTGCCAGAGTGGTCCATCGTTGAGGGCCAGAGCTGGAGAGTCTAATACAGGATAAGGAAATTAGGTCAGAGCTTGACTCTTTCCTTTTCCGACCAGTAAGGGCTTACTTATTCAGAATATTTGGCTTGCCAACTTCCCGTGCCTAGGAGGTTAGAACACTCTGACCCTTAGGCCTTGATAGTGAGCAGGTGTGAACAATTAAGGATGCACATAAGGGCTGGGGTTAGTCACATAAGAATGGTGAACATGCCTCAGGGATGATTGTTAGCTTTCACTATATAATCCGGACCCTCAGAACAATAAATTGGTTCAGTCTTTCACTGACCCGCCTGGCCCAAGTCTCTTCATTGCACACTCCTCCATTTGATGCAACACTTAGTCTCGGGCAACAGTCCCTGAATTTGGGAGATGGGTATTGAGAGCAACTTACGGTTTTGGTCACCAAGGGTCCAATTTGTTTTCTCTTAAAGTGAGACTCCAGACTTACTCTCCCAAATCACATATACACTAGAAGGTTGGGCTTCCCAAAGCAAGGATACATTTCTCCCTCAGGGTTCTTAGGGTATCCTAGATGAGTTGAGGGTTATCTCCTCTAATGCCATCAGCTCAAACCTCCACTCTACTGAGTTCTCCCCCTCTTTTTTATTAATTTATTTTTAGTTTTCAACATTCACTTTTTTTAATTTTTTTTTTTAATTTTTAACATGTGTTTTTAAAACTTTGGGTTACAAATTTTCTCCCTTCCTCCCTCCCCACCCACCCTCATTGAAAAGGCAAGCATCTCAATACAGGTTATAGATGTGTAGTCATGCAAAACACTTCCATAGTAGTCTGTTGTGAAAAACTAAGTATATTTCCCTTCATCCTATCCTACCCCCCATTTATTCTATTCTCTCTTTTGACCCTGTCCCTCTTCAGAGGTGTTTGCTTTCAATTATCCCCTTCCCCAGTCTGCCCTTCCCTCTGTCAACCCCCTGCTCTCTTGTCCCCTTTCCCCCTTATTTTCCTGTAAGGTAAGATAGATTTCCATACCCCATTGTGTATGTTATTCCCTCCTTAAGCCAAATCCTATGAGAATAAGATTCACTCATTCCCTCTCACCTTCCCCCATTTCCCCTCCACTGTAAAAGCCTTTTCTTGTCTGTTTCATGTGAGATAATTTACCCCATTCTACTTCTCCCTTTCTCCTTCTCCCAGTATAATCCTCTCTCACCCTTTAATTTTATTTTCCAGATATCACCCCTTCATCTTCGACTCACCCTGTGCCCTCTATCTATCTATCTATACATACATATAATTTTTTCCCTCCCACTACCCTAATACTGACAAAGGACTCATGAGTTACAAATATCATCTTTCCCTGCAGGAATGTAAACAGTTTAACCTTAATAAGTCTCTTATGATTTCTCTTTCCTGTTTACCTCTTTCATGTTTCTCTTGAGTCTTGTATTTGAAAGTCAAATTATCTATTCAGCTCTGGTCTTTTCAGCAAGAATGCTTGAAAGTATCTTATTTCAGTGAATGACCATTTTTTACCCTGAAGGATTATACTCACTTTTGCTGGGTAGGTGATTCTTGGTTGTAGCCCTATCTTCTTTGCCCTCTGGAATATTGTACTCCATGCCCTCTGGACCCTTAATGTAGAAGCTGCTAAATCTTGTGTTATCCTGATTGTGTTTCCATAATACTTGAATTGTTTCTTTCTGGCTGCTTGCAATATTTTCTCCTTGACCTGGGAATTCTGGAATTTGGCTACAATATTCCTAGGAGTTTTCCTTTGGGGATCTCTTTCAGGAGGTGATGGGTGGATGCTTTCAATTTCTATTTTGCCCTCTGGTTCTAAAATATCAGGGCAGTTTTCCTTGATAATTTCTTGAAAGATGATGTCTAGGCTCTTTTTTTTGATCATGGCTTTCAGATAGTCCAATAATTTTTAAGTTCTCTCTCCTGGATCTATTTTCCAGGTCAGTTGTTTTTCCAATGAGATATTTCACATTCTCTTCTATTTTTTCATTCCTTTGGATTAGTGTTACAGTGCCTTGGTTTCTCAAATTGTCACTATCTTCCAATTTCTCCATTCTAATTTTTTAAGGAAGTATTTTCTTCAGTAAGCTTTTGGACTTCCTTTTCCATTTGGCCAATTTTGCTTTTTAGGGCATTCTTCTCCTCATTGGCTTTTTGGACCTCTTTTGCCATTTGGGTTAGGCTATTTTTTAAGGTGTTATTTTCTTCAGTATTTTTTGGGGTCTCCTTTAGCATTATTCTCAGTTTTTCCTCTACTTCTTTTACTTGCTTCTCAAAATCCTTTTTGAGCTCTTCCATGGCCTGGGACCAATTCATGTTTTTCTTGGAGGCTTTGGATGTAGGAGCTTTGGTTTCATTGTCTTCTTCTGGTTGTGTTTTGATCTTCTTTGTTACCAAAGTAAGATAATACAGTCTGACTCTTTTTGCGCTCCTTGCTCATGATCTCAGCCAATTACTTAAATTATAAACTCTTTGTTAAGGTAGGAGTCTGTTTCCAGTGTGGAAAATGTACTGTCCCAAGCTTTGGGGGTTTTGTGCAGCTGCTTTCAGAGATACTTCTAGGGACCTGCACATTTTTATTTCTTCCAAGGTGCTATGATCAAGGGTGAGGTGTTTGCTCCTTTCCTGGCCTGTGCTCTGGTCTATGAGTAACCACAAGCAGTCTTTTCTGTCTTGGAACTGTGAGGATTTTCTCTCCACAGCCACTGCAAGCTCCACCATGCCCACGTTCCTCCTTCTCCCAGGACCACCACCCAGAACTGTGACCCAGATCCAAGCATGGGCAAAGCAGGAGAATCCTGCACCAGCAGAGAGATCCCTGCAATCCCCCTCTGATCAGCCACTCGATTCTCCCTCAGTCTGTGGGCCGGAAGCTCAAAAGTGTTTGCTTCTGATTACCCTCTCCCCCAATCTACCCTCCCTTCTATCATCCTTCCCTCTCTTATTCCTTTCCCCCATATTTTCCTGTAGGGTAAGATGCATTTCCATACTCAATTGAGTGTGTATGTTATTCCCTTCCTAAGTCAAATCTGATGAGAGTACAATTCATTCATTCCCTCTCACCTCCTCCCTCTTTCCCTCCACTGTAAAAGCTTTTTCTTGCCTCTTTAATGTGAGATAATTTAGCCCATTCTACCTCTCCCTTTCTCTTTCTCCCAGTACAATCTTCTTCCTCTCTCACCCATTAATTTTATTTTTAGATATCATCCCTTCATACTCAACTCACTCTGTGCCCTCTGTCTATATATATTCCCTCCAACTACCCTAATAATGGGAAAGGTCTCATGAGTTACAAA